GTTCCACGAATCCCCACGCACAGACTCCAAGGGGCCGTGATGGATACAAGGAGGCCCTCTGTTCATACTTGTCAGTCGAAGCCCCTGAGACTGATGGCCTGAGAGGCCCTAGTGGATCTGAGGAGGCCCCAATATCCACACTGGTCTGGGGAGGCCCCTGACACTGGCGGTCTGGGAGGCCCCTCTATCCACACTAGTCAGAGGTCTGAGACTGGTGGTCTGTGAGGCCCCTCCATCCACACTAGTCAGAATAGGCCCCTGACACTGGCGGTCTAGCCGAGGCCCCCTACCCTCACTAGTCAGAGGAGGCCCCTCTATCCTCGATAGTCAGAAGAGGCCCCTGAGACTGCTGGTCTGGGAGGCCTATCCATCTACACTGTAGTCAGAGGAGGCCCCTGAGACTGATGACCTGAGAGGCCCTTATAATCACACCAGGCAGAAGAGGCCCATGAGACTGATGGACTGAGAGGTCCTTCTATTCATACTGGCCACAGGAGACCCCAAAAACTTTCGGTCTGGGAGGTCCCTCAATCCGGCACCAGTCAGAGGAGTCCCCTGAGACTGATGGCCTGGGAAGCCCTTATATTCACACTAGGCAGAGGAGGCCCCTGAGACTGATGGTATGAGAGGCCCTCATATTCACACCAGTCAGAAGAGGCCCCCGAGGCTGATGGCTGTGAGGCCCTTCTGTTCATATAACTGGCCACAGGAGGCCCCTGAAACCGGTGGTCTGGGAGGGCCCTCTATCCAAACTAGTCAGAAGAGGCCCCTGAGACCGATGGTCTGAGAGGCTCTTATATTCATACTGGCCACAAGAGGCCCCTGAAACAGATAGTCAGAGAGGTCCACCCTAATGAATCTGAGGGGGCCCTCTATTCACATTTACACTTTTCTAGGGAGGCCCCCGAGACTGATGGTCTGAGAGGCCCTTTTATTTATACTGTCCACAGGAGCCCCTGAGATTAATGGTCTGAGAGGCTCTTCTATTTATACTATCCAAAAGAGGCCCCCAGGATTGATGGTCTAACAGGCCCTTCTATTTATACTAGCCAGAGGAGGCCCATGAGACTGATTGTCTGAGAGGCCCTTCTATTCAAACTAGGCAGATGAGGCCCCTGAGAATGATAGTCCGAAGAGCCATGCGGCGGCAACTGGCCGTGGCCATATTTCGGCTCGGTAGGGCCCCACAGAGCTCATGAGAGCACCTCAAGGGCTCCTAAGTAGACACGCTTATCCCCATAAAGGTGCCACGCCGGCTTCTGAAGGCTCCTTGTAGGCATCTAAGGGCACTTTCCGGCCTCTAACGGCTCCACCCGCCTGTGATGGCTCAACACCAGTGTTTATGAGCGCCACACAGCGGCGCCTTTGAGGGTCATACTAGTGTCTCTTAGGGCCCTATATCGGTGGCTCTGGGGGCCTCACACCGGCGCCTCTGTGGGCCACCACACCTGTGCATCTCAAGGCTCTATACATAGGTACATCTGAAGGACCCACACCGACACCTCTGAGGGCCCCACACCGGTGACTCTGAGGACTCACTGGCTCCTGAGAGCACCATGTTGATGTCTAACGGCTCCACAAGGCCACTGAAGGCACCACACAAGCTCTCACTGAGCTCCAATGTCCATGTACCGGCCTCTGAGGGATTTAAGCCAGCGCATTCATAGCTCCACACCAGCAATTGTAAGGGCTTCACACTGAAGTATCTGAGGGTTCCACACCGGTGTCTCTAAGGGCCACATACCGGCATCTCTGAGGGCCCCATACCGGCGTCTCCGAGGGTCCACATCTGGCGGGCACCCATCAGCGACTGAAGGTCCCACACTGTCGACTCCGAGAGCCCCATCTGCGTCTGGGAGCAACATGCGTCTCTAAGAACCACAGCGGCTCCTCCGTCGAAAGATGGGCGTCTGCATGCCAAAGGGGAGCGGTTCTGAGACAGACAGTAGGGCACCTACGTGCAATAGAGGGGCGCCTATGAAGCCCATAGGGGCGCCTCAATGCGAAAGAGGGGTGCCTCTGAGGCCTAGATATATGGGCGTCCACATGCAATAGAGGTCTGCAAATTGCAATTGATCAATGCCATGGGGGTGCATTCATAAGAAACAGGGGCGCCGGCATGGCAAAGAGAGGCGCCTTCAAGTGTTCATAAAAGAGAGACGCCTATGATAAGCGCACATTGTATGCGACAACGGGGCGACTGTGGGACATATAGGGATGTCTCTGATGACTATACAGTATACATAGGGCGCTTATATGCCAAAGAGGGCGCCTATGAAGCTAATGGGGGCACCTGGGAAACGAGGAAGACATTTGTGTAAGGGTTTGCAGGGGTCATGCGGCGTTTGCGGCAAATAGATCCTAAAAAAAAAATCGGAGGGGAATAAGTTTTAAAAATGGTGCGGACTTTCCGCACTGTTCGCTTAAGCGGTTACGCCCCTGGGTACATCTGCCCGATCTCAGAAGCTAGATTTGGAGGTCATACTTGAAAGCAGCCAGCAGGACGAGGCAAGAGTCGGAGGCCCCTGAAAATAGGAGGCCCCCTGGAAAAGGAGGCCCCTTGACAGGGTGGCCCACCCACTTTTAATGACGTTCCTACGCCCGTGCTAGCTGAGAAGACTTCTTTGTTAGAAGATTGGTAAAGCTTTTCATAACTTGGAGGTCTCTTATACTCACAGAGATGACCACTTTTACAGGGCCTCCTAACCTGCACAGAGGGCCTCCAAGCCTGCACAGATGTTGAGATGTTGCCTGAACAGCTAGATAAGCTCAAAAGACGCAGTTTTTTTTGGGGGGGCCAACAAGTGGGAAGATGGGGCCTCCAACAGGTGGGATTATGGGGGGGCCTCCTGGTTTCTAATGGCCCCTCCCTTGGAGATTTTCTGGATCCGCCCCTGCCCCCAGCAGGGCGCGGGTTAAGTTGTTACTGTTATTATTGTTATGCAAAGGGGGAATATGCGAAGATTTTGTTTTCCCAATCATTTTCCTTATGATTGAGTGGTACTTGTGTGGGTTGTGTTTCATTTGGACAAGGAGATGTCCTTCTTTAATAAGATAATTACGCTTTAATTTGTGTACCATTGCTGTAACTTGGTTACGGCAATGCCTCCATCTATTCCACTGCAATTTATTTAAACTGTCATCGGCACTGTTTTCTCTTCGAGCTACTCTAAACAGTCTGTCCCTTTTTCTCATCAAACGTTTCAGTTCAGCAGTTACCCAGGGTTTATCTTTTGGTCGGGGGGACACTCTCTTCTTGGGAATACTTTTTTCAGCTGCTTTCATTAGTGCAGAAGTGAGCAATTCGGTAGCGGTGTCTATGTCGTTGTCTAGAATACTGTCCCAGTCCGTTGTCATAAGTTCGTGCGCCAGTCGTTGGGAGTCGAGTTTGGAATAGTCCCACACCACCTTGTGTCGCGTCAAAGTTTCTTCTACCCAGTCGTTGAGGGTTACATATATTGGACAGTGGTCTATGGAGGAAAACGGTGGCAATACTCCGCTGTCTATGACGCTTTCCCGGTCGGATACCAGGCAAAGGTCTCTGAGATTCGCGATACTGCCCACGTAACGCGTCGGCTCGTTTATGAGTTGGGTAAATGATAGAGACTCAGTGGTTTCCTTTAATTGTTTCTCAAATTTAGTGATGGGAGTATGATTTTGCAGAGGATCTTGCAGGAATGAATTACCGGCGTTGAAATCTCCCATTATTATTATCACGGACGGGTTGTACTTCTGAGCTTTAAAGACACTTTCCGAGAAGTTACTCAAAAAAGTTTCTAAGCGCTCAGTTGGTAAGTTTGGGGGTAGGTAGAGACAACAGGTAAGAACAGTACGTCACAGTACAGAACGTCGATTTAACACAGCAGCACAGCACAGCTGCATCTCAACAAAATAATTGTATAGCACAACAGCACGCAGCAACCATAACTGCACAGCAGGTCAACAAACAAACGCTACCCGACAGGGCGAGTTAGTGGTAGGCCTGCCTTCATGTACCATTGAAATACAAATCAATCGCTCTTACAACCGTGGTAGTTGGTAGTTGGTACAACCGTGATATGGACCTACATAATATAAAAAACATCACCGCCTTACCGGGATAAGAATGTAGGTGTGAAGTTTGTGAAGTTTATGATGCTCGTAAATTTCGTTAGGTAGTTCAGGGATCCCATTACCCAAGCCATTGTGTTTTCGCCATCGAGTTGACCTTCCAGTGTCGTAGTTATTGGGACACAACAGGCTCGCCCCAATCCCATCCATTTGACCTACAGAGGTCAACAAAGATCACTCGGCCGAACTTTGCACATATTGTGGTCCGCCGAGCGGAGATCCAACGAAAAGGGCATCCCGGAGAATAGTCTCAACGTGCAGAAGGAGTGACCTTATGGCTTACATGGGACCTTTAGAGGTGATGGAATCGACGCAGCGGACGGACGGTCCCCTCCCCCCCCCCCCCAACCTTGGCCACGCAGGCTCTGTTCGGTGAGGTAGGTCTAAGATTTCGATTACTATTGCGTAGGTCAAAATACGTTGCGAAGTGATCGATCGGGTGACCTTTGCTGGCCTTTGCAAGCTAAACGACTGGGCCGCGCCTCACACAATTTTCGCAGCTATCGAGAGACGACAACGCTCACCTTGGCCTCATCATGTTCGCAAATTAGGTCGCAATCCATTGAGTAAGAATTTAGACTGAGGCCTCTAGCCGGACTACAGCAAAGTTGCATCACCTATCTATAGTGTCTAATATACTGTTGACATTTGTTCTTTTTTGTCAGTGCCACGCTCGTCAAGCGGAATAATCTTTCCATTCGCCGTTTGAAGAACAGCGATTATGCATATGCATATAGCGCTATGAAATGATGCGCGTTCCCCTAATTCAATATAGGTACCCTGGCGCGTTTGTTTCATCGATCACATTGGGATTGCATCGAGTATCTTCGCCGGTGATATGCCGTGTAGGTGTATTTTCGTGTACAGTTCGCGCTGCCGATGGCCGTTACCTGGACGCTGGCCGTGTCGGCCGGTGCTGTCCGGTGCTGACGGGCCCGACTGGTGTCGCTGGCGCGCCCGCTGCCGGCGCCGCTCCTCCTGCCGGCGGCGCTGTTCGCGCAGTTTGTGCGCGGCCCGCGCGGCGGCCGCCTCCTGCTGGGCCAGCAGCTGGCGGCGGCGCGCCTCCTCGGCGTCCGGGCCGGCGGCCAGCAGCCGGCGCTCGGCGTCCGTGGGCGCCCGCTCTGCCGGCACCGGCCCGCCGCCGCCGTCACCGACAGCAGCCCAACCAAGCTACAGGTCTACACGGGCATGCAGTGACGTTACAATGGTGACTGCCCCCCCCCCCCCAAAGAATTTGTTGGCAAACTTTTTCTTAGACCGAGAACAAATACAATGTGGCATGAGGATGAACTACCAAAGTTGAAGGGTAAGCGACAAAAACGCTCCCTTTTCTCTTCATAGGTCGGCTAGAACTTCCCTATGACTCGGTGCCCACACCTACCTGTGAGTCTTATGGTGCCATCGGACTCTCCGTGCGGATTCTTCGCCACGCATTTGTAGGTGGTGAAGTCTGACCCGTCCACTTTCAGTATTTGCAGACGCATCTCCAGCTTATAGCCGTGACTTATGTTCTTCACTTTGTATCTCACTCCTGAAAAAAACCGCGTCAGCCGAGCCGGTGCACAGTCGCGTGCATATATGCACAATATATTGCATATATGCACTCACATATAGTGCATATATGCAATATATGCATATAGTGCATATATGCAATATATGCACTCACAATATATTGTGAGTGTATGACTAAATCAATTACAACTATCTCAGCATCATCTTCACGAAGGGGTCGGTGCCGGCGGCGCGACCGAGCCGTACCTGAGGAGAGCACGCCGGCGTTGGCCGACCACCAGTAGACCACCGAGGTCGGGTGGGCCTCGGTGGCGCAGCGCAGCGTCACGGAGGTGCCCTTGGCGGCGGCCATCAGTTGCTGCGTGACGTTCACCAGCGGCGCGACTGGCGAAAACGCAGCATCAGTCAGTCAGTATCAATAGTCAGCACAGCACAGACTGCAGCGAGGACACGGCATCAGTCGGCAGTCCAGTCAGCACAACACAGCGACTAGGACCAGTCCATCAGTTCCACCAGTCAGCACAGCACAGCACGACTGGGGGGAACACAGGATCAGTCCATCAGTACAAGATCAGTCACCACAACAGCACAATGATTGGAGGCACCCGCAACACCGACAGCATGGGATCCAGCGGTCCGGGCACCAGCAGTATGTTACTTAGGCCGGCAGTGGCAGTCACTGGCAACCACAACCGACAACGGATCATTGGTATCTCACAATTTACTTGGATAATATCGAAACAAAACTGTTCGGGTCCAGTGAGGATCGACGCATGCTCATAAAAAGCATTATGTGGTCAGATGAATTTCTGCAATCAGTTGATCAATTACCCGGCTCCTGAAGACGTGCCAGCTCAGCATTTATTTCGACCCAATGGGTCGCACGCCAATGCGCCGGACCAATATTCGCCTCCCGGCGGGCACCCGGCAGCGCGTCCAATCCCCTCATCCACTTAGATGGCGGCCACACACGCCGCGCTGGGGCGAGCGCCGTGTCGCACCAGTTCGGCTCACACATAGTGTGATAGGTATAGCGAACTTGCACTGCATCTGAAGCACGATCCGTTTGGAGACGGACGACGGTACACCATTAGACGGTGTAAACTTACACCGCACCTGGAGCACGCGGTCCGTTTGGAGGCGGTACACCATCAAACGGTGTGAACTTACACTGCACGTGGAGAACACGGTCCGTTTGGAGGCGGTACACCATTAGACGGTGTGAACTTACACTGCACCTGGAGCACGATCCGTTTGGAGACGGACGGCGGCACACCGTTGGAGGCGATGCACAGGTACACGGCCATGTGGTGTCGGCGCACGGGCGTGAAAATGATGTCCGTGTCGTTCACAGTCATGCCTGCCGACGTACAAAGGCCACGTGAGACGATATGCCGACACTGGGGCAGCTGCTGCGCGACATGGAGCCCACAAGGACAAGGCTACCGGGATCTGTGTAGCACGTTACGGGTTGGTGTAGGCACATCGAACAGCCCGTGTCTTAAAATTGGGGAGGGCGGTCAGCGGCATACAGCGGCGGGGCAATGACCCCCGGGGACAGCGAGCTGCGGAAACTGGTAAGCGCTACCTATATTGTCTATGGAGGATACTTTTTAACAAACCACTTCTGCTGAACATCACATAATTATGAAACACGTTTTTTATTGGGGTTACTGCTGACAAACGGCGTTACAATATTAGTTAATTGAATGTATGCTTAAAGGAAAAGGGCCACCTTTAACATGGGGATTGAAACTGAGATAGCCATCTTGTAGCCCGTGTCCGAAAACCTATTTGTTCACCTCCTTACGGCCGATTTCGGCCTCCATTCGTAGTTATCGGCAATTTTAAAAGAAAATACGCCAGGAATGCGTCCATATCCCAGGAATGCGTTCTAATCCGACAATACAGCCACCCGCGGCGAGGCTTTGGTTTTTTACCAATCAGCTCCAACCAGCTCAGCTTTAACCAATCAGCTTATCTGACACAATCCGACGAGTCTGTCTTCTGAACGCTGATTGGCTTGAGTGTGACGTCATCGCTATGCCATCATACAGTAGGTGCCGTAGAGAGTATCATATCAACATAGTACCAATATGTTAAATAGTTTTCAATACTTTTTCGCGAATTGTGCACTTCTGGCACCAGTTTTAAAAAGAAAATGAAAAATAATAATGTCAAAATGAAAAACAACGATATCTTCATATTTCACGAAGGTGGCCCTTTTCCTTTAAGAAGTAACAAAAATCAACACTGATAATTGCTTCAGAAAAAAAAATAGCGAAGCATTGTATCGGCAGTTCAGCAACAACCATGTTATCATGAATATCGTATATCGCTTATGCAGCGGGAGGAGATGGCATCAAATGAAATGAATACCTAATAGCCGCCAGCCTGAAGCCAAGGGCTGATCGGACTGCCATTTCTCACAGATACAAGATTCAGTCTGTTCGCGAACGGATAGATTTAAATAAACCATCGCATGGCTGGCGTCAATACCCACAACGAGGTGTTGTCCCTATGGCCAACTGTGTTATTATCCCTCCATTGACCTACTCCACGGCCAGCCAACACTGGTCAGAGCTCAATGGAAGCCGATATTTCCGTCTTTCCTGACCGTCTCGATCAGTACCGAAACCTGTCGGCAGCAAAAAGAGGCGCCACTCTGCGACCCAGAGAGCCAACTCGTGTCGGCGGCGACCGGTGCGCGGTTTTTGATCGGCCCGGCGCGGCCGCTGCAGCGATCACGGAGGGCGCGCCGATCGCCGGCGGGCACCGGGCCGCCGGCGCGCCGCACGCCGCCCTCCCTCGGCTTTTGCGCCGTCCCGCGGGAGGTCATTTTCAGGTAACAAGAAAACACTCTCAACAGGGCGGCGGCTCGGGCACTCAACTCTCCCGGGAGTCACATGTAATTATCTAGCGGACGCGCCCGGGCCCATAGCGAGAAAAAATTGCGTCCACAGGTAAGTGTGTTACACGAAAAACTAGGCAAGTTTATATCACTTTGCTCGCAGAGATTTGTAGGGCGTCTGCGTCAGAAAAGTCCCTCAGCAGGCAAAGTGAGAGATAATAATCATGGAAAGAGGGAGGAGAGAGAGAGAGAGAGAGAGAGAGAGAGGGAGGAATGGAGGGGGAGAGAGGGAGGAAGGGAGGGACGGAGACGGAGACGGAGACGGGGACGGAGACGGAGAGTGGAGACGGAGAGGAGACTAAGGAGTTTCGGGAGCTAAAATGAAGTTGCATTTTTCTATCGACTCGGTAGGGTGAGCTTGTTGTCACGTGACCGATATAACCTCAGCTGACCCTTATGAAAAAATCTGAAATTCACAAGTTGTAAAGGATACTATTTTTGGACCGTGCAGAGATTCACTTATGACTTACTAGGTCAGGGATCTGATCCGACCTAAAAAAGCGGTTGGCGACAATAAAATGTCATGTAGGTATTTATCAGTTCTCCTTCGCTATCGTGTTCCGTAAGAGGTCGAAAAAAAAACATCGAGAGTGGCACAACAGCGCCTCTAACGGCAACGAAGATGCAGTCTCGTTTTATTTTGAATGTGCATTCTGTGTCTTGAGTAACAATGAGCAAAACGATCACCAGTGACGTATTGATCAGCACCCTCTAAAAAGTCCGTCTGCCCGCCAGCGGCAGCTCTCCTGATCCCAGATGAGGAGCCTGATAGTGCTCCGGCACGGCAGCCGTTCGCGGCGCGGCGGTCCGACACCGTCCGCCGTCCGCCGCCGAGCGCCTCGCCCTCAGCTGCACGGCGGCAGAGAGGCTCATCAGTTGCCGACGGCGGCGCAGCGCCCGGACAAGTCAGACGGCCGCTCTCCCCAGACACGTATTCGCACCTGGCCCGCCCCGATTCAATTACACTAATAGAGCCGGCTGCCCTTTGTCTGGTCGATTTATGGCGTCTTTCGACGTCTGGCGGCTGCGGCGCTGCGCGCACCAGCCGCCGAAAGTAAGCCGTCGTGCCCGCCCCGTCCCCGCCGGCCTCCTCGGCGGCGGACGGTCGGCGAGGCTCCACATCTCAGCGGCGCGGCCGCCGCAGAAAACCACCCTCCGGTGGTTTCTCCCAATTACTAGTATCAGGCAGTCTCCTCACGGGAAATAAGTACCTTCATTTCAATAGTGATTTTTTAAACGGAGTTCCTTGGAAGCTTGAAGAAAATTTGGTAGTAAGATGGAACAAATCGGCCGACATTTTTATTATTCAAAAATGGTTTAAACATTTATCATTCGTACGCATTAAGAACTCATTTTCGATCATGCAAATAATCATGATCGAACTTAACAGAAAGCAGAACAGTCAATTCAAGAGTTGTATGGAAGCAGATAAATGAACAGTAGGTATAACGGATATGCATCGAACTATGCGTAAAGTTATTCCACGTGTAACATTTGGTGACATTAATCATTGCAGGATCTTGTCAAGTACACAAATAGGTACATGCATAAAATACGCAATCATTACAAATCGCGAGTCCCGAATGAGGTCTCTGAGAGTGCCGGCAAAAAAAAATACAACTATCATCGGCCGCAATTATTATTAACCATTTTCACGACGGAACATTGGGCATCTTTGATCCGTTTGATCCGTTTGGTACCTGAGAAAGTTGATTTGTTCATTGTTGTTAAATAGTGGGTTTTTCACCTTTCGAATTAAATGGCGATTGCTTTACCCTTTTCCTTTCAGATTTACTCAAATAAATGCCAAATGTTCCGTCGCAAAACGGTCATTATATACCCCTTTAGCAGCATAGGCGGCGGAACGGGGAGGGCACCGGGGCACCGTGACCCCCTTTGATTTTGGCATTTTAGCATTAGCCCTATTGGCGTTGCATGGAAAGAATGGGACCAAAAGTCGGCGGTGTCCCCCTTAATTGAAGGTGTTCCGCCGCTACTGTTTAGTAGTAATGACGTAATGGCGTGTTTGGAAATCGCAACAACGAGCACCGCTGGTAGCAAAATTGTCACTTTGGTGGTGAGATAGTATTAGGGGAAGCGGGGGTAGCACCGCCATGTGGGAAACACCGCCATCCTCTCTATCGGCAAAACTCTGAATTGTAAATGTAAACACCCGCCATTTCGGTGTCCGAACGGAAACGGGACGCCGCGTGAGGTAGGTTTCGCTAAGATTTATTTGATTTTGAGATCGCAATTGCCCATTTTGTGAATTTCAAACCATCGTTGTAATCATTTGGCATGTTTGAGCAGCAAGTAAGTGGTCATTTCAAGTCAAAATGCCTTGATTTTTACGTTAAATTTGAGGGCATAAAGTGCTCTTTGTTGATAAAGGAATTACAGAAGAATCGCATTCCGGCTTGTTTTGCTGTCGGGGCGTTGTCGGTCCATGACTGTGAGTGGGGTAACACCGCCATGCTCGGCGGTGCTACCCCAAGGGGTGGCAAAATGGATAAAGCCGCAATGATGATTCACTCAGCTCGGAGAAGAGCTTTAGTTAGGCCGCAAACGTCGTCTGTTTTTTAACCTCACGTTTGACTTCACTGGATGTTTCGAAATAAACGTGAATTTGTCATGCTTTGTATGCATATTGTCCGCAACAAACAGTCTGATCTGTGACAAACTAACAACCAACTCTTGTGTGTCTTATATGAGTTTGAGTTACTATTTCAGACAGCAGTAACGCTTCCAAGGGTGGCTGTCACCGTAAGGCCGATCTGTAGATAACATCGCCATCAGTGGCGGTGCTACCCGCACATTTTTTGGAGGACGAAAAATGCAGGACTTGTTTTTGACGTCTGTAAAGAAGCGAAATTTTATAATGGAGCGCTGGAAACTATGCCAACCTGTAGGAAAACATTCCTACTTTCACATGAATGCAAAAGAGCTTCGTTTTTACTACGCATATCAGCTCGGTGAGCAGAAATGCTTAAGGTGGCGGTGCTCCCCCCGCTTCCCCTACTTCTCATTTCTATTACTGGTAGGTTGTAGGCTAATGACTAGGCTATAGGTAGCGCTGCGGCCGCTGGGCCTCCGCGCCACCCGCCGGCCGCTGGGGGGGGGGGGGGGGGGCATATAGTTGCCCCCCTTTACTTCTGCGACGATATCGTCGTAACGCGAAGAGATAGAGAAGCGAAACTTTGCACACATCTTCCTGAATACCTAGCCGAGGTTGTGTCCAAATTTGGCGTCGATCCCATGCCATGTGAAATGACGTCACAGTGACGTCAGAAGTCAAATTATAGATTTGCGACTCTCAGTTTCCTCACGATATATCCAATATATGAGACCAAATATAAAGGACCGATTATTGGTCAGGAACTAGTACATTTACGATTGTGTTTCATGCTCAGCGGCATCAGAAACGGTCCATATCGGAAAACGACAACACTTTATGACGTCACTATGACGTCATCTTAAGTGCTATAACCACCAAACTTTGCTCAAACATTGCCTAGGTATTCATTTGAAGTTATGCCAAGTTTCACGTTCGTAGCTCGTCAGGTTTCGGAGATATTCCATAAAACGTAAAGAGGGACAACTTTATGCCCCCCCCCCCCCAGCGGCTCGTGGGGTAGGTAAGGATAGGTTAGGTTAGATAAAAATAAAGAAAAATATTTGTATCTAACCTAACCCACAGCCGACGGCCTACAACTTCAAGGTAATAGGTAAAAGTACAGGGTGTCCGGAAATTATCTGCCCCTCCATCAGCTCGCCGCCATTATTAATAAACAAACAGCCCCCCGGGTCATGGTTTATTGACCGATTTATCCCCTGCCCTGTCATACTCATTCCCTCATCCGCTTTGGTATTCCATGGATCAAGATGTCCAGAGTATTCGCGCTGATGCTCAGCCACACCTTTCACAGGTTCCTCTTAAAGTCCGTTTACTGTGAGAGCTGGTTTAATCTTGCTGAGCTCCTCCTTCATGATTCCCCATAGGTTTTCAATTGGGATTAGGACAGATGAATCGATTTGAATTCCTACTTCATTCCAGTCTTCACCATAACTTCAGCGCGATGACGCTTTGTCAAAGAATTTATTTCGTCACAGTAGACACCACGTTCAGGTGCGAGTTACGCCTGCCAAACGCTGGTCCCTGGCGCCTCTCATGTGTCCGTCATGAGTCAGGTGACCGGGTTACTGGTTAGGTCATGTGACTAACAGACAGCTGTGGATAGCCTTAGGCACGGTTTTAGCAGTTTTTCAACAGTTCTTAAAGCGCACAGTGGGATTATAGCTGAATGAACAAGGGGCAAATAATTTCCGGACACCCTGTACATAATATTATCCACCACCAAAGGGATTCTTTTCAACCAGCGACGCTCGTCAACCGTTGTTGCAATTTCCAAATACGCTTTGTAATACCTAGAAGACAACCGTATTTAGAAACCTAGGCTTGTTCCACACAGCCGTCTGAATCGAATGAATCAGGTTATCTGCTTCACTTTTGTTGAAACTTTGGGTAAAGGGGCCGCCGGGATGCAGGTCGGAGTGGGAGATGGATTGATTTCAGCGCAGCATGTGTGGCGAGGCTGGTTGGCGGTAATTAGGTGGTAATTGTGAGAGCGCTCTCACCTGGCCTGTGATGACGTGGCGCGCCGCTACACTGGGGTTACACTGAGGGTACACTGAGCACTCACCTGGGCTGGAGACCAGAGGCTGTCCGGAGCCGTCCTCCTTGAACCACTTGATGAGCGGCTTGGGGTAGCCCCTGGCGACACACCGGAGAGTCGCGTCTTCGCCTTCATGTAGGCTCATATCATCGGACGACTCTTTGAGCACAATGTCCGGCGGCTCTGTCGGCAAAATGAAACATCTGAGATCACTCAAAATAGATACCTTTTTAACGCCGATTAACTGCACAGATACATTCGCTGCCAGGCATATGTTTGTGCTCCGCAGTGCTTGTACTTTGTAGCCTCCAGTTCTGGCATGTTATAGGCATTTGTTGCCAACGCTATGGAAAGTTTCCTGAATCCTGACAATATCATTATGTTCCGCCATTGTGATATTCCACCCCAATCCTGGCGACTCATGAGTCGGGGAATAGGGATTGACAGGTTAGGGGACAGACAACACAGGGGATCGAATCGCCCCGAGGCCCCAATTCTTGAACTGACATCGTACATACCAACTGAGCCAAGAGCCACAATAAATTCGAATAGCATACAACAGAAAAAACATCAGTGTCATTCCGTCAAGTTACCAACATATTAGTGTTACATGGTAAACGTTAACTGAACTTTTAAAAAAATCGACAATCAGAAATCTTGTTTTCAATCAGAAAACAAGCCCGATAACAGGTAAAAATTGGCGGCACGCACGACACCAGAGGCCAGTTTTACCAACAGAAAAATAGCCACCTGCCGGAATTTTTCGCCTAAAGACCGTTCACATACGCAGCGTAAAAGCGATGGGCACGTAAGCGGATAGGGCTATGACAATACGTTATAGACAATAGGGTAAACGTATGTGAAGCGGCTTAGACAAAAAAAAAAATCCGGCAGGCGGCTATTTTTCTGTTGGTAAAACTGGCCTCAGATCTGTGTAAATCAACATCGAATTTATCAACCAAAGTTGCGTGACGACGAAAGCGGAACTAAACCATCCATGCCTCGACTTTGGACTCAGCAAGTGAGGCCCGATCGCGCCTGCGGGAGAACAATGACAAATACCATGCAGCATTGCCCCGCTCTCGCCGAGGACAGTCCCTAAAGATCAGTTCAGTCACATGCAGCTGATATTTTATGGGAAGCCACCGGCCGCAGACGAGTGCAGTGGCCGGCTCGCAAGCTCGTCCCTGGCACGTTACGGGCTACCGGCGTTTGGGCGACCGCCTACTGGCGGTATTCCAATCGAATAGCGCGCCGAGGCGTGCAGTGCACGGAAGACTTTTGACTAAACAATGCGGCCAACTGTGTGTACCTACTTGTAAACAAGCGGCTAATCATTCTACCTCCTATATACGGCCTTGATCAGACTGCTTTATAAGCAGGCACTGTTGTAGCTTTTGGTGATCTTCAGCAGTCAGCTGGTTTAAGTAACTATCTATTTTATGTCAGAAAACAAAAAGGGATCGCGTTACAATTGAAGTTAGATGAAATAGTAACGTGGAATAGTAAAAAGGGATCGTGTTACATGATCCGATGACCTCTCCTCGAATCCGTGGCTGGTGCAGTGGTTCCGATCATACGCTGATCCCTCGCACGCTCAAAAATCCGTTTTCCTCGACGAATTCATATCACGACTGTTCTGGCCAACTTTGCGATAAAACTTGTAAAACTGAGCGGCACTGGCGCTGGAGCGCGACTCTCCAACAAGGGAGGCGTTAATTGCTGCTTCGACAGTGAAGTTGGCCTAATTAATGCCCGACGGCTGTCACCGCAATCAATTGCCGAGGGCGGGATGGGCAGCCGGCGTGTATAATTGATCGGCACGCGGCGCTCCGTGAAAGTAAACTGTCCATCCGTCTTCGCTGCTGTCACCGACTCATTCTGTTTGTTTGCGGACAATACATAAAAGATGGCGTGTGCGGCAGTGGCGGGCCGCCGACTCCGGCGCGGCGGCTGAACCGCGGATAATTGCCCATCCGTACGCCGGTGACACGGCCGACCGTCCCGCCGGACCCTGGCGCTGTCACTGGGATCTTCAGTCGACGCGCTGGATCAAGACTTTGTCCCCTGCCATCTCTGACCCACCCAGCCACCCAGCACACGGACCGTCCCACTGTGTCACCTTGGGCAGCGGTGCTGTGGGAGCTCTTCATCAGTCCGCCGGAAATGCGAATAACACGCACAAAGTCCGTACAATCAACAAAGACATCACGATGGTATTAGCGCATTTGGTTAAGCAGCCTCTAGACGTATTTTACCAAACGATTTTCTGTAGCAAAGACACTTACCTACAAGACTTTTGATTGTTTCACTGAGTTAGGCCCGTGGCCGTGGCCGATGCACTTAACCCGCGCATGACTGGGGTATTTTCCATAACGCGAGTGACTGAGAGGGGGGGGGGGGGCTCTGGAGAGCCCCCTCCTATCTCCGAAACTACTGGGCCCATCGTCAAAATTCAAACGGCGCCTGGTAGCCCTGGAAAAACTGTCCAGCGGAACCTATTTTCATTGACTTCGAGGTCACCGATGACGTCACAGGTCACGTCAAAGTAAAAATTATCGGCATTTTCGCTTGCTCACAATTTAGGCTCTGGCGGTCGGCTGACAAGTCCGATCAGGCTCATTTTTGGTTTACGCACTCCTTGATATATGCCTTAGATACCCTGAGGGTACCGAACTTTTACTTTGAATTTTTCAGGTCAAGGCCAGGTCATCCTAGGTCACGAAAATTGTACATCATGTATCGGCCACGTGACGCATGTTTAATGGTCCATTTTACTCGTAGATTTCAAAATAATGTCGTCTGTGTCATTTGAGGTTATTTTCAGCTGAAGTTACCGGAGGTCAGGTCACTTTCAGGTCAGCCAAAAGGTCAAATTTTGAAAATGCAATTTTTCAACAAAAAAGGTGCCTATTAGATGCAATTTGAGCTCAGAAGCACGATGGTGCAATTTATATTGCTGTATGATGTCAAAAACGTACTGAAAAATGGTTTTGAAAAAATATGGAATTGTAAAATTATGACAATAATGCTAATAACCTGGCTATTTTTGAAGATATTGGGCTAAAACTAGCTAGAGTAGTTCATCAGTGTGTGTTCTATCACATGTATTCCGGTTTTTTGCGATAAATAAAAAAGTTTTTGAAAAAATCAAAGAAATATATTTTTGTAATTGAAAAGCATATTTAAAAAAAAAAAAAAAATTCGAGAAATCGATATTGCAATTTGATAGCTACGTGTATTTGTAGCCAACTGGTGCAAAGAAATTGGATCTAGCTGCAACTAAGCTCTTGAGAGCGTTTGCCGTAATTCAATATTTTGCATCGAAATCGGCCGACATGACGTCACTCTGACGTCATTTCCGGCCAAACTATGGTAGCTAGAAAGTTGAAATCTTAACAAAAGGTGTCAAATTGAAGCCGCTGAGGGTACCGCAAGTTTTGTGTTGATCCGTCAAACGGTTTAGAAGATATTGCCGAAAAACGGGAGGGGGCTCTGTAGAGCCCCCCCCCCCCCCTGTAATGCCGGGGTTAAAAACATCTAAATTAACATATTATAGATTGCCAATGCATATATCTTGCTTTTGGAAAATGAGGAACGGTCATGTAAACCATGCCAGTTGACCGTCCAGGGGGAACCAAAACTAAGTCAAGGATGTGCCGAGCTGTGGCACCGTGCATCTGTGGGTGCGTCGGCCGTCCGTCCACTCACCGACGACCTCGAGGTAGCCCTGCCGGCTGATCATTGGGTCGGTGTTGATCTGGCACATGTACCAGCCGGAGTCGGTGCGGTCCACGTGGCTGATACGCAGGTGCCAGACGCGGCCGTCCGACTGCGACAGCGATATCTGGTAGTCGCGCGTGATCAGGTGGCTACCGATCGTCAGGATCGTCTGCGTGTCCACCTTGATCCAGGCCACCTGCGGGTCACGGGCAGGGGGCACGGCGTGTCAGCACTCAGCAGGCAGCGGCAACTGATTCTTCCAGATAAGGCTGGGGCCGCAGTCACGTGGGCTGTCAGCTGAGCTTTTCCCGTCCCCGCTCACGATTTACTAAACCTTGATTTATGCTTGAAACGATTTTGTAACTACTGACGTTTACTGACATTTGGCGCCCAATAAGAGGTCTGGCGACACTAGTCAGAACTGGAAGGGGAATAATCAAGACTAAACTGATATCAAGTTTGGTTATTCCCAAGCACGGCTATGAGCGTTACTTAATACTCGTACACATCATCTGATGTGGGATCCAATCCCTCCCCTTTGCCATATTGAGAACTAACTTCCAAAACACTCAAGATTTCAAGGCTGAGGTCAACTGTCGGGTCGAGGCCAGGTCAAATGTAATTTTCTGGGGTTCTCAATGACGTGTCTTAGACGGCGGTATTCTGCCCTGCCCGGCGGTATATAGCTTCTGCCCGAAACTCAGCCAAAGTACCTAACCTCCAAGACTTGTCAAGATACATCGTGAGCATGAATGTCATAGAATCATGTACTAAGCGCGGGTCAAGGTTCAAAGAAAATATACCACTTTTACCATGGGGTTTTGAACTGGAATGGCACTTTTGTAGCTTGAGTTAAGTAGCACAAATCAAGAGCTTTAAAACCCTAACCCGCACATGGGGTACCGTGCGGGTTAGGACTACCGAGGGTGGTTGCCACCCCCCTCGGTAGTCTGTCTGCTCTGCACTCAATATTTTTAGAGCCTGATTTTTCGCATAGCTGCTCCTCTATCCTTTTTTATGTCCACTGAAAAGTTCAAGTTTCTGTGGTTTTTGGTTTCGGAGATATGACCTTGTTTTTTTCAGGTCATGTCATGACCCAAATGACCAATTCTCAACATCTTGCGTTGGCTATGGGCCTTGTGAGCTTTGACAACTTGATTTCGGCCTTTTTTGCCAGTCTTATCTCCCACCTATCATGGAATATGTTCGACGATGTACAGATGTCAAGGTCAAGGTCAAGGTCAACCTAGGTCATCTAAAATAATTGCGTTTTTGGCAAGCTGAATTTACTTTTCGCGAAGTTTTTTGACTGAATTTTTTTGTAAAAGCTTCTCAGATCATGATTTCATGTAATATGGACACATAAACAACAGGTGCACACATCGACATACACACAGACACACACAGACATACAAACACATATAATTGACCTTGACCTAACTTGACCTGAAATGACCTCAGCAGCTAAAACCTGGTCGGGTAGTATGACAAAGAGGTTCTAGCTTGCTTGGCACCAGAAAACGGCATCGTCATCGGTGTATGATAAGCAGCACACTTGATATCCAACGGTGACCCAAAACAGCAACATTTTTAGTTTGACCTGACCTGGAAGGTCAATGACTGACCTGAGAAGATAAAACTGGGTATCATTGGATTCGTCTCTTCCCAAAGAATCTTTTTTGGTCTTTACCGCGAAGCTCTATCTCCAACAGGAACGAAATGGCGCGGGGGATGGCAACCCCCCCCCCCCCATGTGCGTTCTATGGATGGAAAAATGGCATGTGCGGGCGAGGGTTAACGCCGCAATGATCACCCTAGGAAAAGATACTTCATTTCTCCTCCCGAAAAGATAGCTTTGTGTAGATGAATGTTTGACTTGTAGAGAAATGCCAAGAATGCAACTTAGAAGTAAGTATCCTGTAGCAGCATTGGCGGATCCAGAAAGGCAATCTTGGACGCTGCGGGGGGGCATACCCCCAATAAAGTTCCTCCAAATTTCAATAACTCATCAGATTTCGGTTCCTCACGCACTGCTTCGCAGTTTAAAACAAACTTTTCCTAATAAAAGTTGTTTGGTTTTCGTTGTATTCTTCAAAAACCACAAATTTTCGTCGATTTCAGGCGCTGCGGGGGGCATTTGCCCCAAATGCCCCCCCCCCCCCCCCTCCTCCTGGATCCGCCAGTGTGTAGCAGCATGGGTGGTTCAGTTTCGGACTTGATTTTGATACTATGTAAGCTGGTCAGATAAAAACTTGAATCATTTCTGAAAAGTGCAGTTCATTCTCGCACTGTCCAATAAATTTCCTTTTTCCGCAGCAACTCGTTGAAATTCAAGTTTTAAGACGAATTCTCCCCAATTTGCCCCGTACCATGGCAACCTGAGTTTTATGATACCGAGAGTCGCGGTTACTAAATTCATTTTTTTTCGCCACTTTTTCAGCTTTCGTCGGGAACCCACCAGCCGGCAATGCAAATCCACGTGCCACAGTTATGGTGCTGTAGCACGTGCGCACGTGAAGGGGTCGATTCCAGACCTCGAGAACGGCTAAACCGATTGCGCTCAAATTTGGTAAATGGTTAGCGACTGGTTAGTAGGGTGCCGTGCAAGTCAGTAAGGACCCATTTTGCACGTGCGCACGTGCAGAGTGCCGCTTCCAGATCTCGAGAACGGGGGTTATAGTATTGACACAGGTACCAAAAAGGTTGCTGCAGCTCGAATACCTTCTTTACGTAGCTTACCTATACTATGTTTTCTACGGGCACCTTTGGATTGAAAGTTCCCCCGATACCCTACGCTACGTGCGGCAATGCCCGGCAGCTCCGGGGACAGCTCTCGCAGTAACCTGCGGCGCGCCGCTCTCGACACTGTCGCCGCCACGGCCCCATTACCGGCGGCGCCGCTAACCAGGCTTTATTGGGCTCATTCACGGCCCCTATGCACAGAATGGTTGCCGCGAAATGATGAAAAATGCCCGGCGATATTGGCGTGTGCCGGGGACGTCGGCTACGGCGCGGCGAGGGCGATTACTCAGACGGCGGCGGCGGCACGGATTACTGCGACCACCTCTGCAGGGGCGCGCGCCAGAGCCGCCGGCAGTAAACTCGGGCACCGGTCATAGCCGCCGGCGCCGACCGCCGACCGGCCGGCCTGGGGAACACGTCCGAGCACCAATGTGGACCCGGTGAACCATGATTCAGTGCAGGAAGGGGAAAATAATCTACCCAATTTCTGACGAAGTTATTCAGTCTTTAGGTCCTATAGGACATAAAGACTTCGCATGCGAAGTGTATTTGGGAAATAAAAATGTAGCAAGTAATCACACGTAACACTTTCCTAACGGCAGATAATTTTCCTGGAACTTTTCACTGGGCAGAATGCTACTATGGAACCAAGCTACCAAGGGAGCCTTGTCCGCGTCTTCGGCGGGCCGTCCACGCTGCCAACTACCGGCCGCCGTATATCCGATAAGTTGGCCCGTTATTGAAAAACTCCCCACCTGGGCTTAGTGGGCGGATTAGCGAGCCGCGTTATCCGACGAGTTCACCCCACGTAATGGAGGTTGGAGGGACCCGGGGGTCCTCTTACTGCCGAGGTGGGACACACCTGAAGACAGGCTCAGACACCGCGACTATAGAGGGCCGGGATAGGCAGACACCACGACTAGTCAATGTCAGAATGAGAAAAGTGGGCATATTCTCAATTTTCTTGAATTTGGAAAATATTTTCCGTGAGAGATAATTGTTACAGATAATTGTTTTGTTCCGTGTATGAAGTGACGCGTAATAAATACACGAGCAGGTACTTAGATACAATAAGCTGAAATCTCACGACGATATAATGTCTAATTGTATTCAAAAAGACTCTGGCTTTAAGTATTAGGTCGTTCAATAAGTAAGGTAAAATGTCCTATAATAGTACATGGACCTCGGGAAGTTAAAGGGACTATCCCACCTTTAACATGGGTTTTGAGTTGAGATAGCCAAGTTTGCGGCGAGGTTCAGAAACCACTATCTATCTAGGTTGCAACCCCCGCGGCCTCTTGGTGTTGAAGAAATGCGTTCCCTTCATTTGAAAATGGGCCTTGTGCAAGGCCCTATCTTCAACATGGAGCGACCGTTAGTGTGACGTCACCTCGTTTAGTCATTCTGATTTAAATGGGTTTGTTCGTTGAAAAACCGCTTAAAACTTGGTCTGAACTTTGTTGTGGTGCCTACAGAGTAAAAAGAATCAGCTTTATGACAGTAATGTGGCCTGGGGAAGGAGGTAATTTTGGGCTGTGACGTCACATATTTGAAAGTTTGTGTTTGGAATATGGGAAGCCTAAGATGTTTAATGAAAAAATAAATGCCAGAACCGTGTTCCTGGTCATCCAATCTATAAAGTCGGGCACAATTTAACTGGTTTTAACCAGGGATGCGGAGCCGGAGCCGGAGCCGGAGCCGGAGCCGGAGCCGTGAAACAATATAGCCCGGAGCCGGAGCCGGAGCCGGAGCCGTCAAAAAAGGGGGCGACTCCGGCTCCTTTTCTTAAAGGTAGTGTGCCACCTTCCAATGATTTCCCATTTTATTTTTCCTAGGATAAGAAGCTTCTGTTTTTACCTAATATCGCAAAAAAAAATCAAAAATGGGCCTGGAATAGTGCCTTTTTCGCCTAACAGTTTTTCGGTTTTTCGATATGTATAACAACTGTAGTGGGCTGACCTGCAAACAGGCGTCGGCAACAATCGCGAATGCGGCGCACATGTGACAATAAGCAAAGGTCATTATAGAGTTACGACGTACGGGAATGAGTTATCAGCTGTCTAATCGTAGACAACACAATGTCGAACCTTAAACTGTAAGCCTGTATTGGTATTGTTTCTTTTATTTGGCTGTCGAACATTATTTATGGTTTGAAAAATGATTTTATGTAAAATAATTGATATGAAAAAGCCGTCTCTTAAGTTATGACCCCATTTCACCACACGCAAGTGGCAGAAATGACAATGATCAGCTGACGCATTTTTCTTGGCCGAAGTCAGAGCGCGCGGCCCGACGCACCACCACCGCACCACAAAATATGAGCAGAAGCCGCGCCCAAAGCCAGGGCCCCGGTAACGTGAGGTAGCCGAGTCGGGGCAGCAGCGCTGACCCAAGCCGGGGCCGCGGCTTTGGGCGCGGTCTACCGCATCCCCGCGGGCAGCCCCGGGCTATCAC